TCCGTTCAGGTCTTTTCATTTCTCCGTTCAGGTCCAGGTTTTGGCATTAACAATTTGTTTTTTGTTTGAAACATTTTAGTTCTAATCAAGTGTGGTTATTTTAGATGCAAGAATGTTAAAATGTGGAATTCAAATAATTCTTATAATTCAGTATTAGTTAAAGATATTTAGCACTAGTTTAAGAAATAATTTACTTGATAAATAATTAATATAAATCTTCACAATTTTAAATAAGTGTAAAGCAAATTATTATGTAATCCCCTGAGGGTTAAATGACAATAATATTTTTTGTTAATGTTGGGTTTTTTTCGTTTTAATAAAATATTTAATTCATACTTTAACAAAATCTACATTTCAAGGAAATTCTTTGAAAAAATATATTATATAATTAGTAGAATTTCAGATCCATTCAGATTTTTAATTCTCCGTTCAGGTCCCAGTTTTGGCACCAAAACATGTTTTTCATTATTTGATTTTTAATTTTAATAAAATGTTATATTTTTTATTTTACAAAATCTAAAGTTGAAGGAAATCCATTGAATACTTAAAAAGTTATTGAATTTGATTTTCAGGTCCGTTCAGGTCTTTTCATTTCTCCGTTCAGGTCCAGGTTTTGGCATTAACAATTTGTTTTTTGTTTGAAACATTTTAGTTCTAATCAAGTGTGGTTCTTTTATAACCAGTATATTTTAGATGCAAGAATGTTAAAATGTGGAATTCAAATAATTCTTATAATTCAGTATTAGTTAAAGATATTTAGCACTAGTTTAAGAAATAATTTACTTGATAAATAATTAATATAAATCTTCACAATTTTAAATAAGTGTAAAGCAAATTATTATGTAATCCCCTGAGGGTTAAATGACAATAGAGAATTAAGGATTAGAGAAGTGTTATATATACAAAAGGGATTTCTTACTTTTTAAGATAATTTAGGTTATGTCACAAAGACTTGATATTTGGGAAAATAAATAAACTAGCATTATTATGTAGAGTAAATATATTGAGTATTAATGTTATATAAATTGAATAATGAAAAACAACATATGTTGGTTGACCATGTAGTAAGGGAGAGTTGTATTTTAGAGTTGTATTTTACAGTTGTATTTTAGAGTGGTATTTTAGAGTTGTGTTTTAGACTTGAATTTAGACAGTTGTATTGGATTGAAATTAGACATGATGTTTTATTATGTCTCATGAACTTATGTGATTATTGTGATTGATAAATTATACTGAATGCTGAATTAATAAACAATTATATATAGAACTTTGAATCTGTGTTGCGTTAACATGTATTCATATAAAAGCTACCAGCTAGTTCCCCCAACCTAGCAAGATGAGTAACCAGGTCAGGAATGAGCAGAGTACTGGCCTTGGTTATACTTTACCTTAAACAAAATTCTAACTTGAAGGAAATCCATTGAAAATTTAAAAAGTTATTAAAGTTTGAATAAGTTCGACCATAGATTCTCAGGTCCGTTCAGGTCTTTTCATTTCTCCGTTCAGGTCCAAGTTTTGGCATCAAAAATTGGTTTTTTATTTAAAACATTTTATTTTTGATAAAATGTAGATCTTTACATTTAATACAATTCTAACTTGAAGAAAATCCTTTGAAAAATAAAAAAGTAATCGCATTTTGAATAAATCGAGAAATATATCTTCAGGTCTATTCAGGTCTTTTCAGGTCCACTTTCAGGTCTTTAGTGTAACCCCCCGAGACGTCCCAAAAAAATATAGGTGCTCCTCTCATTGGAGGGAACACTACACAGTTGTGTACACACACATGGCGACACGAAACACGATTGGAAATCCATTTGACGATATCTAAACATTTCAAAACGAAGTGAAAAATATTGTGCGCCACGTGGGCGCTTACATTTGTCACTGTATGCGCCATTTCGGGTCGATAAGCGCAATTGGCGCATGGCGCACGTCCTTCCCGATCACTGAATATATACCTTAATAAAAAAAGATTATTATCTAATTAAAAGATTTCACTTCATAATTTTTTTTTATGTATATAGCATTCAGAAAATTAGTTTATACAAAATAAAAAACACTTCAAACAATTAACCAAAGAATGTCTTTAAAAAAATGAGTTATCTCTCTTTGTACAGAAATATGGTTTAACATACAAAATGTAGTACTCTAACATTAGATATGGACCATGATAACTCTAGACTAAATCATCAGACCGGAACAAAATTCAAACTTGATCTATAACTTGTCATGATAAAACTATATACCAAATATCAAATCAATATCTTCAAGAACAAAGAAAAAAAGTGTGGAAAGCTGATTTGCCAGACTTACGGATGGTCAGACGGACGGACAGACAGACGGACGGAGTGCAAACCTAAAGTCCCCTTCGACTTCGTCGGTAGGGGACTAATAAATGGATTTTGGACAACCATTTTATATAAGAACCATATGTTAATTTTAACTCATTGGTTTGTAAGAAGTACAACCAAAAACCACATGACAGTTATGTAACTCGAAGAGCCGGTGTCTGACAGGCAGACGACATGTAACCCTTCAGAATTTTTTCTCAACAACTTTTCTAGTGATGCATATTTTTGGCATTAAATAAAAATGGCTGCATGAACAGGTAAGTTTGATTAAATTTGTTCTTACATCTTTAAAAGCAACTTTGAATATGTTTGACATTTGTCACGTTGTAGTGTTGTTGTTATTCCAAATGAAGAAACCGGAAAACACATCACCATGTATGTGTACGCAATCAAAAGCGATGAAATATGGATGATACGGAAACCTATGACTTACGAAAACATATGACACGACGATATGTTTGCAATATTTAAAAATTTAGATTTTTTTTTGCACTGAAAAATAAATAATCAAAATTTATATCCAATTTGGGCTATAATTATTATGACCCATTCGGGAGATCCAACCTGATATCAGATAGTCAGATATGTTATTACATCACAGGCAAAGTAAGAGTTCATTGACCCAGGAACATATATCATGTAGGCACTGGCTACGGTTACATGGAAATGTAACAATTAATAAAAATATTATTGTTACATTGGAGACTAAATGCCGGAATGCATGGTTGGGTAAGGACCTGATTAATTACAAATGTAACACTAATTATTGAGGCTACGGTTACATTGTGTTATTGTTACATGAAAAATAGCAATGTACGCTAGATTTATTAAACTTAAATCTTCTATAGTTTTGTTGCTTAATTCTTTCATATGTACTAAATAATACTTGTAATAATGATAAATAATAAATATTATTATTTAACAAATGGTATTTAAATAGTTTTACGTATTAATGGTTTTGATGTTCTTAAAGATACTACTTCAGATTAGTAGTGCCAAAGGCGAAAAATATAGTTCAATGGTTTGTTGTTGAGAACTCGGGCTGAGAAAAGTGTTCACTTCTTTGTATTTAACTGCACACCTACTACTTCTTACTGTCATTATACTTTGAACAATGGATGAAGAGATTCCTATTGCCAATTTTGTTTTGGGTGAAAAATTTAAAACTTAGAATGCGTTTGAAACAAAACTGAAACAATATCAAGACATGTAGTATATAGATAAATTATCCTTTGTTACGACATAAGCTATATTTAATTCTTAAACTTTATATTAAATTTACACTATATTTGTTTCAGATGATTTCCCGTTACTGACAGAACCTTCCTATAAGCTCCCCCCTAAAATGATACGCCGAGGAAGACCGAAAGGTGCAGAAACGACCGTCGTTGGATTGCCCAGAAGAATGAAGAGAGTCATGCCGTTTCTTAAAAGACAACCAAAGGAAAAAGAAGGTAAATAACTTTTAAAAAAATTGGGACAGTGAATATCCGCCCCCCGCTCAGTTTTGATGGGGGTCGTGTTGCTTAGTCTTTAGTTTTCTATGTTGTGTCTTGTGTACTGTTATTTGTCTGTTTGTCTTTTTACTTTTTAGCCATGGCGTTGTCAGTTTGAAAATGGAAAAAAAAAAATAGAAATAATTCAATGGCACTATTTATTAGTACTTGATGAATTTTCGACAATTGATTTGCATTTTTATAATTTATTGTTTTTTTTTTCAGCTATGCTAAGTTGGATACTGAAATGTGAGGTAAACCTAAAATCCGTAATGGACGGCAGTGCAATCATATTGAAAGACGACATGAAACTACACCACATGCTTCCAACCAAAATATTGGATGAGAATATCAACATTGCTAGAGTGAAAAAGTATTTCTCACCAGAAGCATGGCAAACATTAAAGGTTGCCTTATCTTCTAAAAGGGATATCGCAGAATGGAACTGCACGGTATGCGATAGGGACGTTCACAATGCGGCATCACTGGTGTGTGATGGCTGCTTGGAAAGGTTTCATCAGAAATGTGTCGGATTTAAACATGCTCCAAAAACCACTTTAAGGCACTTACTGGATATGTAGAAAATGTCATTGTAAATAAAAAATTAAAGAAATTGTAAGTAATAAATGTATGTATTGTAAATATAAAATAAATGTCTTCAACTTTTATTATTTAATACATATTACTAGTCCCATCGTACATTGCTGTTTTTCATGTAACAATAACGCAATGTAACCGTAGCCTCAATAATTATTGTTACATTCGTAATTAATCAGGTCCTTACCTAACCATGCTTTCCGGCATTTAGTCTCCAATGTAACAATAATATTTTTGTTATTGTTACATTTCCATGTAACCGTAGCCAGTGCCTATCATGTATATATTGACTGATATACTGTTCCCAGATTGACCACCGTAACTTATTCATAAAAAAGAACAAAGGGCATTATAGATCATTATATCTAACTACTGTTATTGTAATATAGTATGGATAAGAGAATTAAAATATTAAATAATACTTACTAAAAACCAAAAAAATAACACAAACACAAAAACAAAATAATATAAAAAAGGGGTCAATTTCCCAAGAGAGCACAGAAAAAACAACTCTGTATTCCAACGTTTCTATAATGACTTCACGTAAATGAACTACCTCAAACGAATGTGAAACGTGCAGTTTCAAATTTCTCTTTCTTCCCCCATCCATTTCATCTCTTCAAATACATCTGATATATTAGACTGCAGACGATTTGTAATTTCGACTGGTAACACAGTCTTGATTGGTAATTGGTAACCAGTCGGTCTCACTAATTAGCGACAAAAAGGGGCAAGAAACGTCGAGAAGTAAAATTTCTTCTACTTCGTAGTGTTCGCCTTCAACACGTTGAAGTTTATGTCACTTGCACTGCACATTGCTTTGTGGAGACGTATTTACAGAGAAAATTAAAAATTTCATAATATTAAGATAAAACTATTTACACATGATAAATTTCCTGACTGTAGGTGTAGCCTGGTTGAGACAGCTGCTTTGAACGACTCTATAGAGTCGCTCATCACAATACTCAGAGGAAGGCTGTTCCAGTTTTTAATTGTTCGTGGAAAAAAATTATTGTTGGCGTATTTGTGTTCTGCAGGATGGAATTTGGTATGAGAGTGTGTGCATGTTCCGGGACTGTCTGAGTAGTTGTATTAGTCTGTCCGTTTTTGTTATTGCAATGAGATGATATGTGATTTTATAAAACATGACCAGGCGTGCATCTGTTCTTCTGTGTGCGAGGTCTCTTCATTTTAAATGATTTATCATGTCACTAACACTTGATGTGTCTGTGTCGGTTAGTGACAAATCTAGCAGCCCTTCTTTGCACTTTTTCTAGTTTGTTTATATCCTCAGTACAGTAAGGGTCCCAGACTGAACAGGCATATTCTAGTGATGGTCTGACTAAAGATTTATATGCCTGTTCCTTTATTGAGGTGGAACTGATGTTAAGATTCCTTCTAAGAAACCCTAATGTACTGTTAGCCTTTAGTTTGTGTGTTAATAAATTATGGCTGACTTTATCAAAAGCTTTAGAAAAGTCCATTATAAGTACATCTGTTTGTTTTGAATTTTCAATATTTTTAGTGACATCATCTATAAATTCCAAAAGTTGAGTTTCAGAAGATTTTTTTTTTCGAAAGCCGTGTTGTAGGGGATACAGGATGTTATGGTTGTATGCGTGTGTCGTGTCATGATTGCACTAACTACACCATGTTCCATAATTTTACAACATATTCATGTTAAAGAAATAGGTCTATAATTCTTTGGATTATATTTGGACCCTTTCTTGAAAATGGGGGAGACATGTGCGGTTCGCCAGTCAGTAGGGACTTTGCCAGTGTCTAATGTTTTCTGATATATAAGGGTTAGTATAGGTGATATTTCATGTGCTAACTCCCTTAGGATGCGTGGCTTAATTTCGTCTGGTCCACTTGCCTTTGATGGGTTTAAATTTAGAAGTAGTTTGGAGATACCTTGGATGGTTATGTTAATGTTTTGCATGGTAGGGTAAGCTGTTTTCTGTTGCATGAACTGATTGTTTTCAAATTCAGTAGCAGTGATTTTGTTTGGGTCTGAGAAAACTGATTGAAACTGCCTGTTGAGTGCATCGGATTTCTGTTTTCTGTCTGTTACAAGTTTCCCATTCTGCTTTAGTGATATTATTCCGCTGTAGTCAGTTTTTTTGCTTTTAATATAAGACCAATTTTTTTTCATGTTGGTGTAACAATATTTTCAATGTACTGCCAGTATGATTGTCTTAGTTGTTTTTGTACCTGATGTTTAATTTGCTTATATATGTTTTTTCATGTTGTCATTTCCAGATTTTTTCATCTTTTTAAAAAGTCTGTCTCTCGTTTTCATTAATTTTCTTGTTTCAGCTGTAACCCATGGGGTTTTAATTTATGTAGTTAGTTTTTTGTGTGGAATATGCTCACTGACTAGTTCATTAAGTTTTGTTTTGAATTCTAGCAAGAGTTCATCAACAGTATATGTGTATTAACCTTTTCCTGTATAGTGTGTTATAGGTTATCAACTTCTTTTTTATTGTTTCCCAGTTTGCCTTGTTGTAAATCGGCACATTCATTGGTGTTTGCTTTAGCTTAGATGGTGTTATATTGAATTCCGTAAAGACAATGTCATGATCCGAGATTCCCGTCATGATTTCAATTCGTGGAACCTGGTTTGGTAAATTTGTGATCATAAGATCTAATATATTGTCCTTCCTTGTTGGATGTTCAATTAATTGTATCAAGCCGGTATCATCCAATGTATTTCCAAAATCATAATGTATATTTTGTAGTGTAGATTTTGGTGGGTAGATTGTTCCGTATATTACAGTTTTAGTATTTTGTTTTTCCAATCCCACCCTGGGAGATTAAAATCTCCTCCAATTGATATTGCTGCATTATTATTTGAGTAGCTCTCCTAAATGATGTGTCAAACTACTTCATGTTTTGTTCATCGGATGTTTTTGGATTGTAAAAGGATGATAAGTAAAGTGATCTGCTACCCTTAATTTCAATTTTGGCCCATACCATTTCAGATTTATCATCAGGTGTAAGATCTTCAACTTCATCGCTTATAAAGTCTGATCATGGAAGTATTATATTGACAACTTCCATGGTCTGATTAAATTGCAATGAGTACACAACCACCCTGCTGTTTTTTTTGTTTTTTTTTGTCTTTTCTGTATAGTGTGTACTCCTCAGGAAAGATTTCAATACCTTTGATTGTTGAATCGAGCCAAGTTTCTGTTCCAAGTACAATATCCGGTTTAGTGCTATCTATGATATTTTGGACGGTATGTTTTAACGTTTGATAGACTGAAAATTTATGTTTAGTATTCGTAGACGTGTCTTACAAATTGTTTTTGTTTTATTTGTAAGTATTGGTGTAGACTGGTGAGATGGTTTAAATGAGTTTGTTGGCGACAAGAAGACAAATTTAGCTACAAAGAGGTTTATAGTCTATTAAAACAAATAGGTTTATTAAAAAGGTCAACACATTACAGTTGATTATGTGTTGTCTTATAAAATTTCAAATTTGTTGCTATCTATATTAATGCTGAGACTACTATAACACAGTGTTGTAGTAGTCTCATATTAAAGGTCAAGTTAAAGTATGAGCTATAACCTGGAACATAATAGCATGGACGTATTATATTGTCAATATAATACTTCCATGATAATATGTAGTATAATAGTCCCAGCTATAACTGAAAATCACAAATCAATAACAAACATAGGTATGAGCAGAGACATATAATCCATGTTGTATTATATGTCTCTGGTGTGAGAAAACACGGGACACCAATGACTGGTCTGCAAAATAAATAATCAAATCAAATAATTTTATTGGTGTAAATTCCAATACAGGAATGATACCAGCTGACATTTACAAAATACAAGTACAAAAACAGACAAAAATAAACAAAAAACAAATATACAGATATGTTTTCTCAATGATAAGAGACACATATTTTATATCTACATTGGGTGGAGGTGTTATTCATACTATATTATCACTTCAAGCTATTACAATAAGCTTTAATACTACAACAGTTCTTAACAACATTATGTTTGCTTTAAATGAATGTTCGAATCATACATATCGCTTATTCCAGCTACACATACAGTACAAATGTCAGTATCATTACTTTTCAAAATGAAACTAAATTTATCTTGTTCAGACATATTAACAGAAGATGGAACTATATATCACTTAAATCTACACGATAAGAACAACAATCTTCTTCACTTTCAAATAATTATTATTGTTCCGTATATTACAGTTTATTATTTATCACCATTTTACGAATAATTTTATTCATAAATTGATATGCATTTTTATCAATAAGATAAAGTATAATTGAAATGTTTTTGCCATTCAGTGTTTCTTAACGTCTCTTCCTAAAACAATTATATTTTCCCTCTCTTTTTTATAACATAAACCATGGCCGAAACGACTCCTGGCTAAACCACGATGGCCGAACCGGCAGTATGACCGAAACGTCTTGCATCGAAATTAATAACAGAACTTAAACAACTGGTTGTCGCAGAAATTTAAACATTCAGAAATAAATATAAAACTGCATGCAAAATGCATTATTTGTGTGCAAGTGTAAAAAAAATTGTAAGACATATTATGTGATGATACAATGAACTGAAATCAATAAAAATCAAACAAGACGAAAAGGTAACTGAAACAAATAAATTTGTTTTCTTGTCGCTAAAATAGTCTCATTGTCGCTAAATAAGATTTCTTATTGCTTCGTGTCGCTTTTGGCTATTCTTGTCTTTAATTAGTGAGACCCGTAACCAGTTGTTAATAAAATCTGGGACGGAACCTGATTATCCAGTTGTGTCGAGTTTTATCCGGTCATGCAGTTCAAATGCAGTAAAAAAAATATGTCAATGATCGGCTGATTCATTATCAGTCTAAATCAAAAATAAATACTATGATAAAATTGAGAATGGAAATGGGGAATGTGTCAAAGAGACAACAACCCGACCATAGAACAGACAACAGCAGAAGGTCACCAACAGGTCTTCAATGCAGCGAGAAATTCCCGCACCCGGAGGCGTCCTTCAGCTGGCCCCTAAACAAATATATATACTAGTTCAGTGATAATGAACGCCATACTAAACTCCAAATTGTACACAAGAAACTAAAATTAAAAATAATACAAGACTAACAAAGACTAGAGGCTCCTGACTTGGGACAGGCGCAAAAATGCGGCGGGGTTAAACATGTTTATGAGATCTCAACCCTCCCCCTATACCTCTAGCCAATGTAGAAAAGTAAACGCATAACAATACGCACATTAAAGTTCAGTTCAAGAGAAGTCCGAGTCTGATGTCAGAAGATGTAACCAAAGAAAATAAACAAAATGACAATAATACATAAATAACAACAGACTACTAGCAGTTAACTGACATGCCAGCTCCAGACTTCAATTAAACTGATTGAAAGATTATGTCTTCATCATATGAATATCAGGCACAATCCTTCCCGTTAGGGGTTTAGTATCATACCATCATAAGTTGTGTTATTAACATATATGAGAAGAACATAACCCGTGTCATGCCAACAACTGGTTTTTAAATAAATGTGTTTAGTGCCGATGCAAAGACCCTATAAGTGAATCAATATTAACGCCAAAATATGCAATCTTTAATGACCTGACAACAGTATCGTAACTATATCTCTTCTTATGATACATG